TTTTCCCCTTCTTAACTCTGTTCTCCCAGAGGCACTACCACTGTTCCTGATTTGCGCAGCCTTGGCCAGCAGCAGGTCCGACTTGGAGCCAGCTGGCTTTGGCTTTATTAGACATAGGGGAAGCTTCCAGCAGCTTCTCACAGAAATCATCCCTGTAGTCCCCCCACTACCAAAACCTTGCCACACAAACCAAATACACCTTGCTTGATAGTAACAGTACTTGCAGAGTTTTTTGGCATCCTTCTTGCATGGGTGTTCACAGAAGAAAGCAGAAACAATGACAAATATTTAAATAACTGTTAAGACAATCTGAAGACAGCATTTGATCTGAAAAGATTTTTGTGGTGGCATGAGGAGAAAAGAAATTCATATTAGCTGAAGGTAAGACAGGGCTGAAAATTGGCTGATACTTTGGCTAAGTAAAAACAAAAGGGTGTGTAGAAGTGAATTTCCTTATTCTTAGTTGTGTTGAATGAAGATGATGCAAAGTTTTCAGCAAGTCCTGTGACTAAGCAGTGGACTGGATCCCTAATAGTGTACGGTGTTTGGACGCAGTCTGGACAGCTTGGTAGAGTGTGGACCTAAGGCAGTCTGAGGTGTGCTCTGCACCATGTGCTGTGTGAGACAGCGGGCAGCCAACTTCATCTCTGATTCGGGTATGGCACGCATATGCTGTTCTTGTAGCTGGAATTTGAGATACATATTTAAACTGCATGTATTGGACCTTTCTAGGAAGAAATCAAAGTCACTGTGCATATTCCATGCTGATTTTCTGTCAGTGACTGTGGACTTTCCAGAATAGTTAATTTCAGGCTAGGTCCAACTATGCAAAGCACTTGCTCTTCTCTTTTGTGAGTATGTATCTGTTTTATGGGGCAGAGAAATCTCAAGCTTTCTTGCCTGGTGTGCTCTAGACCACAAGTTTGGATCCATTAAATTTGGATGTTACACAAATCTGGATGTCAGTGTGAGTATGGACTGCGCAGTAGGGACGTAGCCACAGTATTCCAACAGCAGACATCTATTATCAAACAAAACCCCATGCTTAGAAAGTTGCATAATCCAAACCTTGTATTATGTCCCAGTACCATTACTGTTAATAGATTCACATGTTTTAGGCTAAAGCTATACACCAGTCATGGGATAAATGAGGAATGATGGGGAAAAGAGGCAATTCAAGAACATTTATATGGCTAGAATAGAGACCAAACAGCATTGCTGGAGTATTTTATATAATGCAGTATTTCAGGTGAACCTGTAGTAAGTGTAGTTGTCACAATATAAGTTGGTGCTGGTTGCTGTTACCTGTGTTTTAAAACTTGTAGTGGAATTTATTCTCAAATGAGCTATTATGTTAGAATAGGATCAGCGAACTGCCAGCCTGAGTGTATAGATAGGAAGTGGATATTCTGAGGTCTAATTTAAGCAGTTTCTGAGAACATGGGTAAATAGTCGACCTAATTTACTCCAGTTCCCTCCATATCTGTTGCCCAGAACTGGTATGCCAAAGGATGGCTGAAGAGATTTCGAGGTACTGTTGTCATGGTTATGTACTGGTCCCACAGGACAAAAAATGTACGTAAATGGATGTAGATTTTAAAGTGTTATTCTTCTGTGGAGTTTTACATGCACAGCTTTCTACTGGGTGCTTGGTTGAAAATCATATTCTTTCACTCTGGATTTAATTTCTTCAGAAGAAGTCTTAGATTTCTACTGTTTTTTCTGCTGACCTGCAAATATATTTTAGAAGCAAGAGATTTAGTCTGTAGTAGTACACAAAATTTCTCAAGACTTACTATGACCTGTACACATAAAGGACATATAACTTTAATTTGTGTTGTATGGGGTAGTATATTTAACAATAGTAATGATTTTCTTTATTGTCTATATTAAGTTCAAATTTGTTGCTTTGAATCTTGTTTTTAAAAAAAGAATTTGTTTCCAGGCATATGCTCAGACAAATGAATGTCTGCATAATAACTGGGTTAAAACAAATGCTTCTCATCTGTAAAAAAGGCCAATCATAGAAGATAATTAATTAAGCCTCCTACTGTGCTCTAGCTGTGTGCAATTTTGCTGCTGTTGTGACCAGCTACCACCTCGGAGAAAAGCTGATGGCAGTGGTCTTGGAGCTTTGGAAGGCCTGGTTGTATTTTTGAGATGCATTAGATGAACTTTTTTTCTTTTAAGGATTATCAATTTGATCAGCATTTTAGAAGTATTAAAAGTACAGCAGTGTGGTGAACCAATAGCAATAAAATCAGTTACGTAATCCAAATACTATTCAATGAATGTTGGCAAAGATTTTATCTGTAAAAAGAAACACATACAGATGTTTTAATTGAATGCAGCTTTAAAAAGTTTTTAGTGGGACATTTGGGGAAAATCACCTTTTGCTGTGGTCAGATAGACCAATTCTCAATGTTTAAGTAAGGTGAAATCTTCCCTTCTTTCTGGAACAGCTGATGCTACATCCTTCACATAAGGAAATTCCCTGTAAAACGTTGTTTTGACACTTAGTGGCTTGGCACATGAATGTTGCCTGGCTTGAGAAGTCTGGCACACTGCTTAGCTGTGTTTGAAAGAAGTACTTTTAAAGAAACGCCTAAGATCCTGCCATCCTGTTAACTTTTATTGACATTCAAGTCTTCATTTCAACATGTAGACCAATGATGATGGGCAGGTTAGCATGACATGTACTGAAGGCAGAATGTAGGTAACTGTTAACATGTAGCAGAAAGTGGTGTGTGTGCAGAAAACTTTGGGTTCTTGCATGTACTGACAACAGAATAGCAGCTGCTCCTTTCAAATAGGAGGTTCCATGCTATTGGGACGCAAGTTTTGTATGAAATGTGTTGCCTTGTACGTTGAGCCGCTTCGTAAATAAAACTTTAATGTGGTTTTCAAAGTAAATATTCTTTATGATGCATTGCTTTTCTGTTGTTATCAGTGATAGCTCATGGCTTTCAGCTGGGAAAGCAATTGAGTATGAAATTGGGATGTTCTGTTGCGTAAGTGACACTAATAAAATAGCAGAATGGTGTGGGAAAACAGATACTAAAAAATATGTAGCTTATTCTTCCCCAGGACTTGTAAATAAATATTCAAACCACCATGATAAATGTATTTAGACACCATTTTTTCCCTGAAAGGATGGTCAGGTACTCTACCCAAGTGGCTTAAGTTAAAAAGTGGGTGCTATATTAAATTCACTGTTGCCTTCCTTTTGGGCTAAGACTATTATGATACTGCTTTTAGCTTAGGAAATGGTATAAAATTGCCACCATATGTGGTCTTCCCCTGCTCAGCGTTCATGAGACCCCTCCTGGAGTACTGCACCCAGCTCTGGGGCCCCCAGCACAAGAAGGACATGGACCTGTTGGAACGGGTCCAGAGGAGGGCCCTGAAAATAGTCAGAGGGCTGGAGCACCTCTCCTGTGAAGGCAGGCTGAGAGAGTTGGGGTTGTTCAGAAGAGAAGGCTCCGGGGAGACCTTAGAGCAGCCTGCCAGTACCTAAAGGGGGCGAGAGACTTTATAACTAGGGCCTGTAGTGACGTGAGAAGGGGCAAGGGTTTTAAACTGAAAGACAGTAGATTTAGATTGGTCATGAGGAAATTTTTTAGGCTGAGGGTGGTGAGACACTGGCACAGGTTGCCCAGAGAAGTTGTAGATTTCCCATCCCTGGAAGTGTTGAAGATCAGGTTGGATGGGACTTTGAGCAACCTGATCAAGTGGAAGGTGTCCCTGCCCATGGCAGGGGGGGAGTGGAACAAGATGATCTTTAAAGGTCAGAAACCTTTAAAGGTTTATGTTGGCTATATGTATGGACTAAAAACTTTACATATAACCTCTTTTGGTGGGGAAGTAGGTTATCTTTCTTTTGGGTCAGTATAGTGGGTCACATGATTGGTTGCGATCTCAAGGAGTAAATTGGTGAAAATTCTATGGGAAGGATACTTCTTAAAAACTGCATCGTGTAGACATCTCCTTAAAACTCAAGTTTACCATTACCAGTAGCAGGCAGAGTAGTAGTCTACTATCCAAGTGTCCTGCTGTTTCTCCAGGAGGCATCCCTGAAAAGCACAGTGGTTACTGATATTTCAGATAGCAAAGGATTTTTTCTGCACAAGAATTAATGTATTGGAAGTGGTGATGCATGAAGGGACGTAAGAATTTAAATATACAAGGAAAGTATATATGGTGTGAAGGATGGAGAGGTGGGAACAGGCTCATCAACTGGGGGAGAGGCTGGCTTTTTGGAGTGGATAGCTGGTGTAAATCTTCTAGTGCGAGCTTTCTTCCTGCCTCGTTGAGAATGCTTATGTTGTTTTCGTTACTGCTGTCATCTTGCTCCTGAACAAAGATCAGGATGTCGAACAAGGAAAAGATGAAGAAAAGGGGTAATGGTCAGGCATTCAGTCTCATAGGTGAAGAGGCTGGCTTCTCTCTGGATGATGATTCAGTCTGGAAAGACAGCATCTCCTCCATTTCATGTGTTATCTGTCATCCTGTTCTTGGTCTTCTATGACAAATACAGCGAATTTAAATAAATCAGGACAGTGTGTATTGTCTGACCTGCATATATTTCCTTCTGTTCAGTTAATTCTTACATCCAAAAATGCTTTGCTTTTTGTCATAATCGGTCAACTGCTGTGTGGGACAAATGAGCTTATGGCTCAAGATCAGAAGTAAGGCCAACCAGCAAGAATAGAAAGGCGAGTCTCTGCTACAGACCACCAAGTCAGGAGGAAGAGGTGGATGAAGCCGCCTTTAAACAACTGGAAGAAGCCTTCTGTTCAGACGTCCTGGTTCTGTTCAGACGTCCTGGTTCTCATGGGGGAATTTTACCACCTAGTACCTCCTAGGGAGGCAATGTGGCAGGGCCCAAGGAATTGAGGATTTTTCTGGAGAGCTTGTAGGATGGTTTCTTTCATGCAAGTGCCCCCAGCTAGGGAAAACGTATTGCTGGTTCTGCTACTCATGAATATAGAAGATGATGGATGGCAGCCTTGGCTGCAGTGACAGTGGATGATGAAATTGAAGATCCTGAAATCAAGGAAGGCGAGTTCCAGATTAAAGCATGCTCTGTGATGGTGAATGTATGCATGTTCAGGTCATCTTGGTCAAGAGTGTAGCAAGAGTATAGTAAACATTTTTGTTCTATTTATTTACTAATGGTAGAGTGGTAAATAAGAACTGAATTGTGTATCTCTCTAGTGCACACAGGGAAGAAACCTTTTTTTTTTTTTTGATGATGTAACCTAGAATTTACATAGATGCTATGCATTAGTTTCTAAATAGCTGCTATGTTATTTTCCTGCCAGAGTCGAACTTGGAAAAATTAAGTGCATTTTGCCAGTCTGATTGTGCTGTTCTTTGGTGGCAAAGAAGTAGGTAACTGACAGTGTCTGGTGGAATACCGATAACTAGGAAAAATAGACTGGTACTTGAATTTCTTTGAAAGTTCTCTAAATATCTTTAAAATTTCTTGCTGTTAAAGATTTTAATACTGAAATCTTGTTCTGTAGTGCTTTAAATTTTTGCTTGTTTGTTTTAATATGTTCCTAGTGTGAATTAAATTTACCAGTTATTGCAAATATCTATTTTGCTTTGGGCTTATTTGGTACAATGCATTTGTGAAATCTACTGAAATAAATGGGACTGGTATTTATATAGATGACAGAATAAACCATAAAAAACCCTCAAAGGCAATCTTGTTTAAGGACAGCCTACTCTGAAGCAGTCCTTCAGTGAGCTGCACAACTGCTTCACAGGAAAAGTTAAAAATGACAAATGGTTTAAAAAAAAAAACCAACTTCAAAAATAACCCAGTAGGTGAACTGAGGATGATTAGACTGTAAACTCTTTAGGGTAGGGGCTGTTTTCTTAATTTCCGTTTATGCAGTGAGTTGTTTAGCACTTCTAGACATGACAATAAGTTAGTAATTATCAGAGCTGGGATAGTGATAACAATAACCCTTAGATGACTAGGTGGCTTTAGGCATGGGCAGACGAGTTTTTGAGGGAAATAATAGCCTGTCTTAGAAAAATTCTTATTATTTAAAAAATGAGAGGAATGCTTGAGTATGTCTAAATCCATTCTTAAAGGACTACCTCTGTGATCAGAAGAAGGGTCAGGAAGTTAGGAGAAAAGTAAAATGGGATGTCTATAAAATTCAGTCTTCTGAGCGTGATCTGGTTGAATGGTAAACAGTGTGGATGTATGGATATATCCAACATTTCAGTATCAGGCTGGAATGGAAGAAGAGAAATTCACTTTTCTCCCTTCACTGAGCAGTTGTTGATACTCACTGGTGCTGTTGGTCCTAAGAGTCATGCTGATCCCCTCATACTGCTAAATAGGAACCTTACTTGCTGTGTGTTGTCATCGTTTAGCATTACAAATAGCATCCTACAAAATGTGATGGAGTCAAAACTGGAAAAGTAATTTAACGATGATTTCTTTTATATGTTGTTGAATCTCAGGTGATCACAGACTTTGCATGCACACTTGTAGTTTGGCTTGTTCCTAGTGAAAACACTTCAGATTGTTAGTTTAGACTCAATATTTTAAAAATGAAAATGAGCCTAATCACTTGCCCACTGGGTGAAACTTCCAGCATTGGCACTTTGTCTCCTCTGACCCCTGAGGGGACAGGCTTTTACTCCAGAACTAGAGTACGCAGGTCTTGTTGAGTGTGGAATGAGCCCAGTAGTGACTCAGAGCTGAGAGAGGATGGTCATGGCATTCTCAAGAACTAGTCAACACAAAGCTGTGGGAGTAGAGGGAAGAAACTTCTTTGCTGACCTTTCTTTTGATCAATTCATAGACTATATGCTATGTAGTGAAAGATGATTAAGTCTGTCTTGACTTGTATAATTAGAGTATCACTTGAGTATAAATTTGCTTTACAGTGTACTTTCTGGTTGAGTCTCTGACCTCTGATTTTGCTCTCTAATGGGCATCTTTGCTTCTGTCAAGTGCTTTCATTACTGACTTTAAACTTCATTGACACCAAATTCAGATGACACTTTGCTGTTTTCAGGAGAGTTTGAGCTGTATGCATTTAATTTTAACTACCTGGATAAGCTGCTTTCTGCTTTATGGCATATATTACACTTCTACAGTTTTCCTTTGTGAGTGCCTCTTGCTTAGGATTGACTTCAGTGCCCTGCTGATGGGTTAAACATCTTTAAGGTTTCATGGAAACCTTCATAATTTGTTGAATGGCTGTGGTGGGTTGACCTTGGCTGGACGCCAGGTGCCCACCAAAGCCGCTCGATTGCTCCCCTCCTCAACTGATCAGGGGAGAGAAAAAAATATAACAAAAGGCTTGTGGATCAGGATAAGGACAGGGAGATCACTCAGCAATTACTGTCATGGGCAAAACAGACTTGACTTGAGGAAATCAATTTAATTTATTGCCAATCAAATCAGAGTAGGGTAATTAGAAATAAAACCCAATCTTAAAAGCACCTTACTCCCACCCCTTCTTCTTGGGCTCAACTTCAATCCCGTTTTTCTCTACTTCCTCCCACTGAGTGGAGTGGGAGGACAGGGAATGGGGTTGGGGTCAGTTCATCACACATCTCTGCTGCTCCTTCCTTCTCACAGTCTTCCCTTACTCCAGCCTGGGGTCCCTCCCACAGGAGACAGTTCTCCACAAACTTCTCCAATGTGAGTCCTTCCCAGGGGCTGCAGTTCCTTCCCCGGGCTGCAGTCCTTCAGGCACAGACTGCTCCAGCGTGGGTCCCCCGTGGGGTCACAAGTCCTGCCAGCAAACCTGCTCCAGCGTGGGCTCCTCTCTCCATGGGTCCCCAGGTCCTGCCAGGAGCCTGCTCCAGCGCAGGCTTCCCGTGGGGTCCCAGCCTCCTTCGGGCATCCCCCTGCTCTGGCGTGGGGTCCTCCCCGGGCTGCAGGTGGAGATCTGCTCCCCCGTGGAGCTCCCTGGGCTGCAGGGGGACAGCCTGCCTCACCATGGTCTTCCCCACGGGCTGCAGGGGAATCTCTGTTCTGGCACCTGGAGCATCTCCTCCCCTCCTTCTGCACTGACCTGGGGGGCTGCAGGGCTGGTGCTCTCACATCTTCTCACTCCTCTCTCCGGCTGCAGTTTCTGTCCCCCAGCAACTTTTTTCCCCTTCTTAAATACATTATCCCAGAGGCACTACCACCATTGCTGATGGGCTCGGCCTTGGCCAGTAGTGGGTCCATCTTGGAGCCGGTTGGTATTGGCTCTGTCGGACATGGGGGAAGCTTCCAGCAGCTTCTCACAGAAGCCACCTCTGTAGCCCCCTGCTACCAAAACTTTGCCATGCAAACCCAATACAATGGCTAATTTTCAGTATGTTCTGTATTTCCTGTCTGTTTCTGTGCATGTCTCTTGTTTTCAAATTAAGCAGTAATTTTTATCAGACTGATCATAACTCCTCAAAATAAAACTTGTATTTGGCATGTTCATATATGGCTATGTACTATAAAGATGTCAGTTGTTCATGCCTTCTTTTAAATGTATCTACAGTCTCACCGGTGTTAAAGATTTCAGAGGTATTTAGTTAATATCTATATTTTTCTCACAAAATAAATAAGTTAGTATATGGTTAAGGTATTTAGTGTTCACTCAGTTTATGAAATTTCTTTGCTTGCTGAAGAGTGAAGTATGTTTTAATGTAGCTAATGTCTTTTGTGATATTCTTCATGCTTTCCAAGTTCCATAAATAATCTGATAATTCAGTAAGATGTGCTCTTGCACACTTAGAAAAATAATGTGATAATTCAGTAAGATGTGCTCTTGCACATTGAGAAATACACAGTATTTTTCTTTTAAATAGATGATGTTAAAATCACAGGGATTTCTTTTTTTTGTGAAAATGATGGAAGTTGAGACTTATTCAACATATTTTATGAATGGATACTGTGGTAGACAAGTGTAAGGTAAATAAGCTTTTTGCTCTTGGCAGGGTTTGTTTTGCTTAACTGTAGTAATTTAAAAATGTTTATAATCTAATCAACATTAAACTGCCGTAAGCTGTAAGTTTTGCCTGAAAGGCAATTTTGTTCACTCCTGGCTGCTTGCTCTTGCTTGGTGCTGTTGTTTAGCTGGATGGTGGAATGGCATTTGTTGACTGCAGTGGCAGTTTATGCTACTTTAAAAGGTTCGTGAAATTGCAGCTTTCAAAGCATGCAGCCTAATTCCTTTATCTTGGTTCTCTTGACATTGACTGGAGACGTCTTCTGCAGTACCTGTCTTACCTATCCATTTTAGGATGGGATGACTCTGGGGAGTGCCCTTGCTCACCACTGATAAGAGTAGACTAAATGCTTAGTTTTGCGGTAGCTAATGGGGGGTAAGATGAATCTCATCCTTTTGTAACAATAGATGACTTTTCTGTTTTGCTTTATGTTTATTAGCTTTCAAAATGATCTAAACCTTTGACATTTTGATGATAAAAGGTTGGGTTTTTTAATGAAAAACTGTAGTGTGTGGCCATAATGATAATTATAATAATGGTAATGAGATGATGTGCCAGAGATAATTTCCTGTGCAAACTTGTGCTGTATGTATCTATCTGCCTAAATCGGCTTTATAGTTAGGAACACAGGTAAACCTCATGGCATGGGAAGTTTAAGTCACATTTCACTTCTAAACTGTAAGTTAGTTTCTAATGCTAATGTAGTGTTAACTCTGTTGTACAGACATGGAAGTAATGAAGCCTTTAATTGATGAACAAAATTCAGATGCCATCTCAGATGAAGAGCATGAAAATAATTTCCTGCCAGTTGAGAAGCACTACCAGCTTGATAATGAAGAAGGCATTACGTATGTATTACTCTTAAGTATGAGCTGGTTAAATTTTGTTGCTTCTGACTTGTTTCTCACGAGTAGTTTACTGAACTCTTAAGGGTTTTTCTTGCACCTGTGGTACAGTTTAGTGGTTATACATCAGGACTTTGCATAGTTCTGCCAAAAAGCAGCCCATTTTGAGTAGGTTCTCTGTTTTTTGGAAGCTAACAATGTACTCGCTGTAAAATATTTCAAGGTGCTCATTTATAAAGTGATTGGGTCACTCAAAATCCAAGCACTGTTTAAAGAAGGTTTTGATTGATTTTATTTTTTCATAAAGAAACTTCAGAAAACTTTGGAAATAATCTGTTTGTTAAAGTTTAATTAGAAGAACTTGTGAAGTGTTTTTTTTTCTTTTGATAAATCTTTGGCTGTCAGACTTGTGATTTGCAGCTGGTAATTGTTTTGAATGTTATTGATTCTAAAATAGCATGGACGAAACGTGGTAATTTTGACTCTGTGGCAAAAGGACAGTAAAATTGCACAGAAAATAACCTTTCACAAGCTGGAGGAAGGAATTGAAGATCAGACTTGTATATTGTATTTGAGGGAGCTCACATGTAAAGATGAGTAAGAACATTATTTGAATGTGCTGGACATTCTTTAAAGTAGCTGGACCACTTAAAGTAGTTGAAGCTCACAATTTATCCCTTTATTAATAAATGACAGAGGGTGTGGTTTTGGTTTTGCTTTTTTTTTTTTTTGCTTCCCCCCCCAATCTCAGCGTACTTCTAATGTGACTTTCTATATTTTTATCCTCAGGTTTATACAAACACTTACACACCTCCTCAAGGGAAACATTGGAACTGGACTTCTTGGTCTTCCACTTGCAATAAAAAATGCTGGCATTGTGGTAAGAATTCAATTATTTTTCATAGATTAGAAAAATTATCTAGAAAGATCTACAGATATGTGTCTGAGTCTGAAAAACTAAAATCTCAATACTTTTTGTTTGTCACTTCAACAGAGTTGTGTTCTATTTTTCCTCTTTAGTCTGGCGAAGTTGGTACTGAAGATTGAGTTGGTTTTTTTTGGTTTTTTTTTTTTTTAGAATTACTACTTCACACTGAAGGCTTTATAGCACGTGCTGTGTTTTTGCTCAGCCAAAGTGTTTTTCTGGCGAAAACAAAAACTTTATCAGAAAAAAGAAAGATTTTGATTCACTCAGACTCCTATGATGTCTCATGGGAATTGTTACTATGGGGTTGTCTTATCTTTGTCCAGACTTCTCTAGAGCCAGACTGTATGTCCGAGGATGCAGCATCAGCTTGTTAAATCAATCTTCTGTTTCTGCAGAAACAGGGTATAGCACAGCTTGTTTATACTAGGTAACAACCAATGCATTTCCTAAGGCAGGGCAAATTTAATCAAGTGAAATTTTCACCTTATGCTAAATAATCCTGTAATTCTTTATTATAGGACATTCGGTTTAAGAATGGAAGTTACATGTGAAAAGCAAGTACCTTCTGTGAAAACTTTTGGTCAAACTTCTACTCCAAAACAAATTACTTAATTTGGAAATTATCTATGACTTCTAATAGTAGAAGTTATCAGGGTTGTGGTTGTGTTCTTGTCTTTTTTTTTTTTATACTGTACATCGTCAAGTCTACTAATGTAAGGGAAAGAAACTTTCGTTGTCATTGCCACTTTAAAGTGGTTCAAACTACTGTTTTGAATTGTGCATATATGCAGGCTGCTCCCTTGACAGATTTTTTTGGGAAATGTCTTAATGAAGCTGTTAGAGGAGTGAAGTTGTTCACACTCATTTGGTATTTATGGCTTGATCTCCCCTGAGTAGCCTTCTGTCAGGTAGTGAACTAAAAGTAAGGAATGCCATAAAGCATCAGCAGCAAATCCCCCTCTGTGAGGGGGGGGGAAAAATATTCAGTTGCATAAAATTTTTAATTCTTAATTTATTTGCTACAATGTGAAATTTTTGCATGTAAAGATTTTCCCCCAACATATTTTCATGGAAAATTCTGTTTATCTCCTTTGTCCTCCCTTTTTTTTTTCCATACCAGATTGGACCAATCAGCCTTGTGTTCATAGGAGTTATATCTGTTCATTGTATGCACATCTTGGTACGTTGCAGCCACTGTCTATGTCAGAGGTAAATGTGGAACTACTCTGTTGCTGAGTTTGAATATTTTTTTCTTTCTTCTTTTCTATTCCTGATTTTTGGCCTACAGAATGTCCTGCTGCTGTAGCAGTTTCTTCTTTTCTGTTCAGAATCCTGTACTTGAAAGAAACAACACTCAAATTCTTATAGTGCAACTATAAATGATAGCTATGCTTTGTGCAACACTGCTTTAATACATTGAAAAAATATTTGTTCTCTGCTCATACACAAAATGAAGTCGGTTTGACTTGTGTTGCCTAGTATCCTGGTTTTTGCTGGCAAATAATCAGGTCTTTTTCTTTGCAGTTCTAATTGCTTAGCTTCAGTCCATTAGTCCTTCTTTATCTTCATAGCTTCTGAATCTTCATAGCTTTGAAAACTGTCCAATTTATAAATAGCCAGTTTATAAGTACTTTAATAGGAATAGAAGATAAACGCAAAATTGTTGTTGATGTCTTTCATGATTATATGTGAGTTCTGTTTCTTTGGATTGTGACAACTTGATTCTTTGAAATTGTAGTGCTGAAAGAATGTGTTAAAATGATGCTAGTGAGCAGGTAAACACTAGATACTCCTCCAAGTGAGGTGTGCAGTACTGGGGGGGAAGTAGCAAATTTGATAGAGTATTTTGATTAATAGTGACTTTTATTAAACATTTTTATCTTACTGTCAGGTGTTAAAGAGAAACAGTGGGAGGGTCTCGTATTTAAGAAGTGCGGTGAAGTTTTTGAACTGAATAGAAACACAAAACTGTTTGTGTCCCTGTAGCTGGAAACACCATCTTATCAGTTTAATGTGGTATTGTACTGTGAAGGGATCCTGTCGTTCCTGAATTCTTCACTTTCTCTGTAGTTTTGAATGGCCTTTGAAGATGTACATAAAACTAAGATCACTGAAACAATTGTGGTTGACTGCTTGTCCAGGAAAATCTGTTGAATCCTGTTGAAGTTTTTTGTGACTTCTAGGTTTGAGATTAATTTCTTAAGCTGATATTCTAAGAATCTAATTTTGGATTAACTTACCAAGAAAGTTGTTCTGTAAGAAACTGACTTAGTACTGTTGAATTAGGGGGAAGCATCATTGTGGTTCACATGCTTGTAGAGTGCTGAATAGCCCTTCCTGGGGGAAAGAAGCCCAAACCATACCTCTAAAATTCAGCAGTTGCAGAATGGTGCCACAGGTTATTACTTATTATAATCCTGGGAGGCCACCAGCATTTTCAAGGTAGGGATCTAGGCCCTCGTGGTTTCTAGTAACTCTGTTCTTTCTTCACTCTTTGATTTCAGGATGAAAAAATCCTCACTGGGGTATAGCGATACAGTTAGTTACGCCATGGAAGTGGGGCCCCTGACTGCTCTTCAGAAACGAGCTTCTTGGGGACGGTAAGTTTGCATTAGAATTTAATTTAATAAATTTGTTATTAAAAATTAATGGCTACACTTGCATTGGTTAGGAGATTTCCTTTTTACTAAGATGTTACCTGCTTTAAGAATGTGTTTTCCATGTTTGAAATATTTTTATGCAGTGTTGTTATTTCATGCAGCCAGCTAGTAGTGGTGACATGGGAGGATTGAGGAATGTCTCTCTCTGTTAGGCATTTCAATTTTCAGGTCTACAAGAGCTGTGAAGAAAAGAACTCTGTGTAGTAATATAGGAAGAGATGTGGTACAATCAGAAATGCATTCTGTATTGTCTAATGTAGTGAAGTAATTTAAATTTTCATTCTCTTTTACCATAAACACACTTTCTCTGCATCAGAGTTCACTCTTTAAGCAGGTCGACACTGCAGATGTTAATTACTTCAGTATATTTATTCTGAAAGGAAGCAAAGCAATTCTTTGATTCCTGTTTAAATATAACATACAAATAATGGAGAAATACTTACTAAATATCTGCATGTCATTATTGCAAAATAAATAGCTTGTTGTCTCTTTTAAATACTTTATCCCTCTTTTAAAAAAGACCAATATTTTTTCTTTGCCATTTGTTGCTGTATAGCTGTTCATGGAGTTTATGGTATGAATAAAGAGTAGTGAAACTCAAAAACTCAGACATATTGTTCAACGTTAATTTAAAGTGTTTTTTCCTCACTTGAGGAAGAATTTTTTTTGGTTCTGCTGTTTTCAAGGATGCAGCATCTTGCATCCTGTGTTTTGGCTGTTTGTTTCGAATAAGAAAAAGGTCAGCTAGTCTTTCAAGATCTTTTGTGATAACTGCATAGGAATGGAGTAGAGCTCAATTAGAGGAAAATTGGTTTGTAGTGAAATATAATGGCAATTCTGTAATGCCCCAAAGAGTTACAAGCCACAAACGGCAGTTTGATTTCCAGAGACACTGTGCTGCAGCAAATCCATTCTCTGAGGCAGATCTCTGCTGTATGCCTGAATCTAGCAGAGTTTAGTTACAGCATGTATTCAGTCCACTATTGTGTATAACATTTTTTCAAAAACAATCTGAACCATAGTTTAAAGTGTTTTTTCAATGAGATACAGTGTCTGAATGTGTATTTGGATACATTGATATAGATCCACTTAGTAAGATGTGAAAATGTTTGTTATTTTGAATTGCTGAAACTTATATAACTTAGACTGTATGAGACATTTCATCTCTGGTCCTGGTGGAAAACTGCTGTGTTGGGGGCTAACGGACCCCAGCAGAATTTATATCTGCATTGAATGTGTGTGTCTGTTGCTTATATTTGTCCCACATTGTTAAGTCTTTGAATTTCATTTTATGCCACTTTAAAATATGATCACCTTTGTTGTTTTTTTTTTTTTTTGAGAAACTTTGATGCCTACTATAAAAAACAAACATACAAACCCACTGTGTTTTGCCATAAGAGGAACCTGCATTGCAGTGCTCATGAGATTAATGTGGCATTTGAATCTACCATTTTGACCACTGTAAAAAGGAGCAGTAATTGTATATTTGGTAGAAATGGGTTAATTGTTTGGATGGTAAGTATAATGTATGTTTGTTTTTTCTTCCTCAGGTATATTGTCGACTTCTTCCTAGTGATAACACAGCTGGGATTTTGTAGTGTTTATGTTGTGTTCTTGGCAGAAAATGTGAAACAAGTGAGTAAGTTACTGTATGGAAACAGTTATGGTTTTACATTCATTTTTCCTCACTTTTATTTCCTATCCTTATAAAGTCCAACAGAACTACTTGTAAAATGTGAAGTTGAGAGATGCACAGAATAGATTGGTTCTACCACGGTTTCCACAAAAGAACCTTTGGTAAAAAAGAGCAATGTGCAAGGTGAACTAAATTCAGATCTTGTGCAAGTGTTTGTGGCTTCATTGACTTCTAATTTGTTTGTTGAATTTAAAAATAGTGGAAATGATAGAAAATTAAGGTTGAAACTGTTCTAGGAGCCAGTCGTCCCTGATATTCCCCCCCCACCCCGGCTTTCTGGTGACTTCCTTCCCCCCCCTCCCCCCCAACCTCCTGGCATATTTTAGCCTTTTCATGTCACTGGAATCTTTCTTTGGTTCTTGTTTAGTCCCTCCCATTTTCTAGAACGGTCTCATCTGCCACAGAATCCACTGTACTTAAACCAATTCTGATTTTTGTTTTTAAAAATGCCTGACATTGAAATTTCTGCAGCCTCCTCCAGTAGTCAGTTCCAATGCTTTCTTATCTGTTAGACAGCTTCTTCTTTGTAGAAGCTTAAAATTTCTTATCGGCTTTGTAAGTCCTTTATTTCATGTTCTAGCTATAAGTAATTCACTTTTTTCTATTTGTGGATACCTTTTATATTTTTGAATATGTTCCCCTATTACAGGGGAGGCATGATAGAATCTGATAATTATTCTTGCTTTTCTGTGAATGCTCTGCAGTTGGTCACATCTCTCTCTTTTTTCCAAGTTTTATCCCTGAAGTTGGTTATGCTACTCTAGCTGAAGTTCTGCTTGTGACCAGTAGAGCTGAAAGGTTATTTCAGAGGTCTTACAGATCATATTCCAGACTTGACACTTCAGTGTCATGGTCATTTTGCAGGAGCATGTCATTGCTAACTCATGATTGACTTGTGATCCACTGTGATCTCCTGATCCTTCACTGCAGAGCTGCATTCTAGGCAAGTCTTCTGGTTCTTGTTTCTGTACAGATGGTTTCTGCTTACCTATAGAATACTTTATTTTTCCTTACCGGATTGATTTTTAACAGTTCTCACGGTTTAATTTTAATGCTGTTTTTCAATATTCTTTCACTTTCCATCTGGAATAGATGTTTAAACCCTGTTTACTACATCATGTGTGTTACTAATGAGAATATTAAATAGCGCTGCTCATGGAGCATTTCATGTGTTTTACTGTAAAACTATTACATGTATAGTATGTAGTATTAAACATATACAGACACATTTCAATATGTTATAGATTTTTAAATAGATTGGATATTAATTGTTAGAAAAATACTGTGATTCATTTGTGCAAGTTGATTTATTTAAGGATGTCTAAAAATCAAATACTTCACCATGCCATATTTATGAAAAAGTCAATTAAAAATTGCAAATGAATCCCCACAAATGCCTATACACCTCCCAAGCAACCCCCAAACCTTTCCATAAAATCCAACTATCCCTTTTCTCCCCCACAACCATCCATCACTGACAAAAGCAAACAAAACCATGCCTGTCACTTTCATGACAGCTGCTCCTACTTTCATTCATGTTTTTTGTCTTTCATTCTCCAGTCCTTCTAAGCTCTTCTGTTTCTCATCGGTGGAGATTTTTCTGTTGACGGGCTCCCTGATGTCTGTTGGTCCTTCCTCTTTGCACACTCAGCAGTTGCAGTCAGCAGTTTGTGTGTCTGAGCGGGTGGTCCGCAGGAGGTCAACCAGCACAGGCTGGATGCTCAGACAGGAGCCACACACACTTTGAGCTTGTGGTGCTCTCTCCTCCATGGACTTATTAAGATGCCAGGACTATACCAGTGTACTCTGCTGTGTTTTCTGCTCATAAGATTATGGTTAGTCACTTGACTTAAAGCTAATGAAGATGATTCTGGGCCTGTGTCTAAACATGAGTGCTTCTGTAATTAGTGAAGTGGGTGAGGAATAAGGTATGGCAGATTACTGAGCATTAAACATCCATATGGACTCTTATTCTACCCAAAAGGTAGAATAAAGGTGTCTTGGCATAGCTTAACTTACTTTAATTAGGAAGAAGAGTGTCCCCTTGAGAAACTAGTACACAGAAGATAGTATGTTTTTTTCCTTCCCTTGTAGATGAGTATTTATATTGTATTTAAAAAGTATTCCAAGTTCTACAGATGAAGATCCTGTCAAGATGAGGCAAATTTGTGTGTTTGGAAGCTGGATACACTGTAATTTGCGTCTTGGGAGAGAAAAAACCCCCCAACCTTGAAAACTACAGTCCTACTGTCACAGTCTATCTCAATACCTAAAAATCCTATTTTACATCTGCTGTCCTCCTTTTGCTGGCCTTCTGAAGTGGGGTTTTTTATTGCATCCTTTCTAACGTAAGTTCTAATTAAAACCTTTCTTATCAAATATGTATCTGATCAACCAGTTGCTATATATGTGTTTTGACCTTAAGGAAAAGATGAGACTGAACACTTATTGACCTTGGCACTTGCAGATTTAAAAAAAAAAACACAACCCAAAACCTTTTCAAGAAACTTGTTGGTGGTTTCTTGAAGAAGAGTTGAAAGATCTTACAGGAAAGCAACTGCTGCAAAAGCAGTAGCTGCGGAGACCCATGACATGTAGCCTGTGAATGAATTGAAGTCGTCAGCAATTCAGAAGTTCCACTTCCAAGTGTATTTGATTTAGATTGCTCTGTGCTCTCCCTTCTGGGAGGGAGAAGTCTGTGGTTTCTTCCTGGCAACTTTCTGTTGCAGAAATCTGTCCCGAAGAGGGCACCAAAGAACACAAATTGGTACTGCTTTAAATCTCTAATTGGGGGTAGTGGAAGGATGAGGAAGGGGAACAGAGGGATTGGGGGAGTGGAGAACTGAGGTAAAGGGAAAACAGCAAAAATGTTACTAATACCACTCCTTGACCCATACCTCTGTGTTATGTTCATACTCTTCTGATCATGTTTGCATGTTGGTATGTGCAGATTAAGCCCACTGGAACCAGTGGGAACTTCCACTGAGATCTTTTCTTTATTATTCTTAGTTAAAACTAGTACCAACCCAAATTAGTAGTCTCTTCCTTCACTTTATTTACTGTTTCAGAGAACTAAGATGTGACAAAGCATTTTAAAGTGGTTCTGGCACATGAATGGACAGTCCAGATTACTTTGAGGTGAATATTTAGTTAGACACACAGTGGTGCATGTGAGTCTAAATATTTGTTTCATCTTTTGAATTCTGTGAAATGTTTGATGTACCCTTCTCACTAATGGATATGCAATATAGCTTCTGGTGCTAAATCTTTTCTGATTAGTGTCTGTAGGATTGTAACAATGTTGGCTGCATTACATTAGTGTTTTCCAGTTACTTTGTGCTACAAGACCCTATTTTGTTATATCACATTTGAAATGAGGCTTTTCCTAAGGAATATTTTCCTGGGGCACCAAAGAAACTTAGGTTGGTGGAGAGAGTTCTGGTTAACTCTGGCAGGATGCAATAAGGGGCTTAGGGGTGAAGGTGTCTAGAATTGGAGAAGAATGGTGAAACTGGAACAAAGAGCTTGAGGGTTGACTGCAAGCAAGACTGGAGCAGGAACACACTGGGATAGGAAAAAGGATCTGTGCTCAAAAGATGGTCCCCTTTCATGCCATGGTTCTGTTGCTCAAGCAGGAAAAGCAAAGTAAGACCTTAAGTCAAGCGTCTTGGCATTTATCAACTTGCTTGTGAGTATTTGCTGAGTTCTTTGGAAAAGTGTTCTTTTCTCATTGTTTGCTGGCAAAGCTAAAAAATGCCACACAAGTCCTTGCTGTGTGGGAGCACTTTATTAGATCTTTAGAATTTTGAAGATGACCCATGAGTGGGGTGCTACATAATGGAATATTGATTTACCCACCCCACCAGTTTTTGTAAAATGGAAAGGAAAAAAACCCAACACCGTCAGGAAATTGAATTTGGACATAAAATTAGAAGTGTGAAAAATGTGTAGTTTGGAAAGTTGAGTGCTGAGTAATAACGAAATACCAGAAGGAAATGAACTGTGAAAATTTTCTTTGGCCTTTTCATGCCAAATTACAGGATTACAATATAGTATTTATCTGCCTGATAAAATATTGGTTTTGTGCCAGATCTGGCCTTGTCTGTTGTACTGGCTGTTACTCCAAGTTGAATAAGGAAGGAATTAAAAGGAACCAATGAGCTCAATGACTATTGTTTTGATCCCACTAGGTGCTAAAAAGTCCGTAGACTGTGTGACAGAAAGAGTGAGTTTTGGGATACAGGCAAGAAAACAGTGGTCTTGGTTGAAAAGACTAAGGAAACAATTATTTCCTGCTTCTGAGAGAGTTCTTGTGTGTTTATCAGTTGAACTGAATTTTCTGCAGTCACTGCTTGTGCATTTGTCATTTTCTGAGTGCCTGACATAAGGAATCTGATAACCAGATTTGCACAAGTGTTTGATCTTCCTGGATACAGCTGAAGTTGGTGGATGCTGCACTTAAGGTATGTAAATGAAACATTAGGAGAGGCACTCCTGTACAGAAAGCTGTTTCAGACATCACACCATCAAGTAAGTTAATGCTTGAATAACCGAAGTGACTTCTGATGGAAGTCACTTTGTGACCGAGGACTTCACTAGCCTTTGTAGTCACTATGGCTAGTGACTTCCGTGGCTGTGTATTTCCTTTCTAAAACCATAATGATATTTTCTCATGTGGTTTAGGGAAATGTTTGTGGAAGGTACAGTCATGATAAGCATAGAACAATATGCAGATAATGTGTGTTCAGATTGGAAGTTGAACACTATTCACTGGGCTCTGTGACACGTACAAAAGAATACGTATGTATGCACGCCTTTTTCAAGAACAGATCCATTGGATGGATAAGTGAAAAGATTTGTCTAAGTTGGCTGATATTCCGATGAAATTTCAGATTATGTTGCTTTCTTTAGGAAAAAGACAGATATAATGTTTGCTGTT